AATAAATAAATAAATAAATAAATAAATAAATAAATAAATAAATAAATAAATAAATAATTTAATAAATAAATAAATAAAAAATAAATAAATAAATAATTAAGTAGAGAGAGATAGGATAACTTCTTGACTTAATTCGTTATATGGGCTCTGAGCTAGAAGTTGCATGAGGGGCAGAAGTTGGATCATTTGACTTGGGGTTCCAAGATGAGTCGACAGTGGCATGCGCCTACCTACATGCAAATCACCCACACACACTCTGTACACGAAGCAGAAGCGATAACAAATTCTAGAACAAGGTAGCTCAAAAAGGTTAACTAGTTCAAAGGGGGATTCGGCATTATCTGAGCCCAATCTCATTTCAGGGGACTTAAATATGAGCGAGAGAACATCAACTGTTCTAAGTGGATATACTTTTGTGTAGATCTCGAAGTTGGACTGAGAGTAGCGATCTCTTCCTTCAGGTAGCCTCATTCAATGATGCTAAGAATGGAATCATTTACAAAATAAAAACAATTCTAATAGGGCACCTAACCTGCGCTCCAATATCCTTATCATGTTGCAAAATTAGAGCTGAGTCAAACTCATCCATTTTCAAGCCCATTTCACACTTTGAAAAAATTAAACTTCACGAGGTCCTATTCTATAAGACAGTGGAGATAAAGCATTAAGTGTAAATTGCTCGAGAGTTTTTAAGTCCAAGAAGTATTCTTTGTTTTCTCGTAAAGTTAACATAGTTCACGATGGCAAATAGGATAAGTGAGAATGAAAGTGATTGAAATAGGAGTCCAGTGCAAAATTATAAAATTTACTCTAGCGTGATTTGATTTAATAGAATATCGACTAAGATACTACTTTTTGAAGTAAAAATATTAGCTAAGCTTAGTGAATTAAACTAATAGGAATTCGGTCAAGAGTTCTACTAAGAGTGATCAAGTTATGATCAGATTGACTTGAAGCTAGCAAGGCTAACTTCAGCTAGCAGAATGTTACGAGATAATATTTATAAGAATGGACTAAATAGGGAAAAGGGATAGGGTGTTTTAAAAAGAAATAGGTAGGGATATAATCTGATCGGAGAAAAGTCACTATAGAAGAATGGAATGATTAGTATTCTAAGCCGTTTTACCTTTTTAACTGTCTTCTAGACGAAGGCTCTGGCAGAGTACAAGACAACTTTATTGAAAATGGATAATAGAATTCTAAACATGGAGAAACTGTACGGCGCATCTTTTATATGGCATATTGAAGAATTTTCGAAAAAGTTGAATGAAGCCAAATCTGGCAAAAAAACCACATTTTTCAGTGCACCTTTTTATACGCATCGCTATGGCTATCGGTTGGTTCTCTCATTGTGCCCAAATGGAGATGGATCTGCGAAGGGACAGTTTGTCTCGCTCTATGTATGCTTCTGTCGTGGTGAGTACGATGCTCTCTTGACCTGGCCATTTTCTCATCAGGTAAGCCGGACAACCTTTACTTTAGTCCTTTAACCTTGTCTTCATCGAGCCTAGATTTGCCCAAATAGATCAAATAACTTTAATGCGATTCCGTTCAAGAAGTTATTTATATGCATTTTCATCTGCGAAGATTCTATTAGTCTGTCGCCAAGTGGATTTGTTTGGAGGACTTTCATTTCGTATGAAAGTGCTTGAAGAAGAGATTCGTAGGTCAATCTCACAAGAAAAGGACGGTCAAATCCTGTTTTACTGCAGCCGTTTGGCT